AACATATCTCCCACATTCTGCGAACACATATTAAATCTGGACGCTATTTGTGACTGACATCCAATGAATGTAGATTGCGCAACATGAGTTGTATGTATCACGCAATTGATAACTCTGACATTTGTCAATCACCTGTCAAAACATGCACAGTTGTCTGCTGGTCGGCAGGTCAAAGTGCATTTTGTCACCTTTACACATATTCTGATTCTCTTTCGTTGCCAAGTGTGTCTTTGAAACCGGTTGTTGTTGTTTTTGGTTTTTTTCATATTATTATTTACCAGATTTTATTAAAAGGATTTAAATCATGCTATCGTCAGAGGTTTAAACATATATTCAATAATGATGATGATGATGATGATGATGATGATGATGAACAGTGGCATATTTCGAACGAAATCACTTGCCAAAGGAGACCCCGAATCATCATCATCATCATCATCATCATCATCATCATCATCAAACAACACTTCTTTAGCATGTTAAGTATGCAAAGCATTTGCTAAACAAAACCTTATCCATGTTGTACATATCACCCCTAGGTCCCGGTACATTTCACTCGTACATTACGCTGGTGTTACATACAGTTTATCAAGTGTACATTGCATTCTCAGCAGGAATTCACAGACCCATAGGGCTCGGGGTCAACCACAACAGACTTCATCACTTCAAAGTACATGTATGAATGTTTTCTCCATTGTCAGCAATACTGTATCTTGTAGTGAGTGAGTGAGTGAAAAGATTTCTTGAACTGGTCAGTCAACAAATTTAGAACTTTAACCCATATTCTTTAATAGGTTCCTGGGGGTGCGGGTGGCCCAGTCGTCTAAGGCGCAGCGATTCGCTTTGCAGAGTTGCGTCCCTTGGGCACGCCAGAAACCTATGATTGTGGGTTTGAATCCAGGATCACCCCGATTATGTTTCTAGGTTTGTCAGCACCATACCCGTGCTCATGGGTTTCAGCGAAGTGGTAAACGTCTGATACCTGCACCACTTCGGGCTTTCCTCCCACATTAAGCTGACACACCGCGATATAACTGGAATAATGTTAAAAGCGGCGTTAAACCCGTCTCACTCACTCCCTCAATAGGTTCCTAAGTACTCCATGCGCATTTGTTTGTTACGAACTGCCACTCTCAGCAACATTCCAGCAATATGACTGAGGCAAGTAAATAATCAAATCTGGACCAGACAATCCAGTGACTGATATTATGAATGCCTTGAAGAGAACTTCAGCTTTATCCCAGCGTGTCCGAGCCTAACGTCGGAGAAAGACAGATGCAATTTACATTTACCACTTTGGTGAAATCCATGAACATGGATATTGTGTATATAGTATACATACAAACTCAGAAATGTAATAAGCGCCCAGGGCGCTCTCAAAATAAGAAAGAGGGGGCTCTTATTAGAATATTATTTTAGTGAAAAAGAGTTAAAAGATAAATTTTGTGGTCAATGCTGACAGCCTGAAATGTTTGTGTACGACAGATATATTTTTCCAGAATATAATTGCCCATAATTACGTGTGCATATAACACACGAGTGCATATTATACACGAATTAGTAAGTCTTGTGTACATTGATCAATCGGAAGGGGTGCTAATTAGGATTGTTCACTGGCCAATATATTAGCAAATATCACTGTGGGCACTTATTAGAGCGGGGTGCTTATTACGTCGAATACGGTAAGTACAAATCTGGGATTCGAACCCATGATCAAAAGTTTCAAGCCTAAGTAAAAAAACCTGCACATCGAAAGGAAGGCCACACACTCTCTGCAACAAAATTTACATCAATATGAAAATGACAGAAAATTGAACCAAATAGCTTGAAGAGATCTATACCTAAAAATAACCACTACAAAAACAAATCTTACTTAAACTAAACAAGTTAAATTAACACACAGCTTGTTAAAGCCTTTGCACAAAGATCCACAAGGGGTGTCAATCTAGTGTCGGCTAGTACAAGCAGACTCAGGTGGAACATAGCCAGTGCTTGTACAATTAACATTCACTTTTAATTGAAACCTGATATGGGAAGAAAGTAGTGTTTTCCAAATTTGAGGAACTCATGAAGATGTCTTCTGTTAGAAGCTTGGATTAAAATTAAATATTGATAATCAGTAACTAAATGAGGGCCTTGAGAGGAGCTGTGAATGTTTAACGTTTATGATTTAATTATCCAAATGAGCTCAGAACTTGTAAAACCAGTCTAAAATGGTTAAATATCTTTTCTTTTTTTTTGTCTTTCTTATTGACCTTTGATCATTTAGAAACTGTCTAACATATTCAGGCTCATCTATATCTATATCATCATCATCATCATCATCATCATCATCATCGTCACTTTCATAATCATCACACGCAGACACGTACCCACGCATGCACGCACAAATGATGACCATAACAATTCAAAAACCCATCACCATCTTCATCATCATCATGGTATTACTGGATGTCTAATAATGTAAACAATTTTCAAACTTTTTCAAGACGACATACCCAGGTTTACCCTTTAAATAATATTCCAAATACAAACACTCAAATTAGCAGCTGTACAAAAATACTGCAACATTTTCAACAAAATAAAAAGAATCAACACACATTCATGTCCTTAAAGTGCCAGAAATATGGACAGCCGAGCCAAAATAAGATTCCTCCTTCATATCCACCCCCACGATGCCCCCCAGGCATCCAACCATCACCTCCAGAAAATGTGCAAGCCTCCTATTAATAGCCATAATAAGATATTCTTGAAAGTCCCTCTCCCCCTTCAAAACCACCACCACCACCACCACACACAAACACATTTTTTTTCCCGTTTCTCATCCCACGCAAGTGAGACCCCAAACAAACAAGCACATTAAACAAGGGGCGCATGACAGCACGGGTCTTCTTCATGTTAGGTAAGACACTGGTTTAACCCTTTTGAACTTAACAGGAATTGAAGCTGCCCATGCCGAGAACAAACAGTGTCTGGTTGAACAGTGAACAAACTTCCAGGAATTTGAGTTGGTGAGGTTTGCGGACTTTACGACATCTTTGGGTTCCCACAAGAATGAGGGCTAGAATTTACCGCAGTTCCTTGACTAAAAGTAGTTCTCCATGACCTAATTATCTGAAGTAACATTGTGTGTGCAGTGTTCATTTCAAAACTCCCCATGGGGAATTTGACATACAAAATTCCTTGATGTCGCAAAGATAAATAGCAATGCACCCAAAGGGATTAACATAATGTTGTTTGTTTGTTTGTTTGCTGTTTAACGAAGTTTAAAGAAGTTGACATCCATAAACTATCTTCCTTAATACTATCTGATTAGGTAAAGCATAAATTATTAAGCATACAGTCACATTTCCAGAATATTAAAACCCAGCAGTCTGAAGTAGCAACTGTTGCGACTCCCTTGCTTTCATCCAGTCCAGGTTTCGTTATTCCAGGTGCACCTAATTACACCATCCCAGCCAGCACACAGACAGTGATGACAGGTAACACCACACCTCTTGATTAACATGCTCTGCCTGTGAGTCATGGGACATCCACCTATTACACAACCACCACGACAACTCCATCTGTTTCCTGCTCCCAGATGAGGACATGACAGTGTTGCGATGCTGCAGCGCTTATCTATCTACAGCGTTATTAGGGCAGATGGGGAGTCAGGTTGTTTGTTTGTTTGTCGTTTAACGCCACACTCAACAATATTCCAGCTATATGACGGCCGTCTGTAATAATCGAGTCTGGACAAGACAATCCAGTGATTGACATCATGAGCATCGATCCACACAATTGGGATACGATGACATGCATCAACTAAGTCAGCGAGCCTGACCACCCGATCCCGTTAGTCGCCTCTTACGACAAGCATAGTCGACTTTTACGGCAAGCATGGGTTGCTGAAGACCTATTCTACCCCGGAATCTTCACGGATGGGGGAGTCGAGCTGAGCGCACAGAGTCAAATCTTTGATGTACCGTTGATGACTGGGCCACCCGTGCCCCCTAAATACTAAAGTGCGAGGAAAACCCAGACAGGCCATAGATGTTCACCACTTGTGAAACTGCAGAGATGGGATTGACAACCCAATTTCTGATTGCTTCTTCAACCTGTGATAGAAACCCATAGCAACCTATTAGCTACGGACATCATTGGACGACCTGTGTCACACATGAACATCAAACGTTTCTGTCCCTGGCTGACCAGCACTGACCATGCATGAAGCGAACGCTTCCATTCAGTCTAGCTGCAATGAGGTCAAGCTTAAATATCAATTTCTCAAAGTCACGGTCTGGCTGTGAATGACCAAGACTTCAATGAAAGCAAAACCCCAAGTCATATATATCTGTCTTCAAAGACAAAATAAAAGATTACCATGAAACCCAAATCACAATCTAATTAAAATCAGACCTTAGTTCTCGCTACCGCTAAACAAAGATCTTAAAGACTTCCCATTAGGGGTCACGGCAGACCGACCTTTCATCCAACCAATCAGTGCGTCGCTTACCAGATTATGAAAGTGACAGTCGGAATGTGACTTCTAATCATACAACCTCGAAAACTTTAACATGGGGTATACCGAACGATAGTTACAGGTTAAACGACTGATTCCTTACAATCTAGACCATCTATTAGCCATTCCAGAATGTTTTTTGTTCAGGTTTCAAATTTTTAATCGGAATTTTTTAAAATATGTTTCAAAGCGAAGTCGCCAATTTGAAATTAGTGCCGTAAAGGACGAGAAAGCTGCCTTCTGATTGGTCATTCAATTGGTCGGTCAAAGTTCGCGCAAGGTCGGTCAGACGTGACCCGTAATGGGATGTCCTCAGAACTTTGTTCAGCGGAAGCGAGAACTAAGATCTGATTTTATTGAGATTGCCCAAATCAATGAATGAATCTGAGGTTGTTTCAATTCTAAATAAGTCAGCTCTACTTTACACTTTTAACATAAATAATGAACCAATACAAAACATCTGCACAAATATCCAGCAATGACTTGTTTGACATACCTGTGAACTGTCATCCGTTAGTTCCGGTGGGTATACAATAAAATGCCTCAGAGTAAATCCAAATCCTTGATCTGTTCTTGGTACCAGGACAGTTCTGGGGCCGGCCCAATCCAAGGCATCAAACTGCAAAACAATAAAACAGGTAACTAAAAATGACAAAATCGTGTCCACATTCATAAAAAATATCTGCTAAAAGCAGAGTCGATTTGTACAATTCCGACTATATCATGAGCAAGTGCCTAAATCACAATCAGACAATGATAATACCAGGTGTTCGTGAAAAGGTACAAGTACCATCTTTTAAAAAAAATTGGTATGGTGCGACTGAGGATCGAACCCCAGGCCTTCTGCTCTCCAGGCAGACGCTCAATCTACCACTGGACGACGGAGGCTGTCTCGATCATCAGGGACAATACAACCACCATTTTCTGATGCATTCTGCCAAAGTAAATGGTATGCTTTAAGCAAGTAGGAAATACTTGGGTTTTTTAATACTTTTCCTGTATTTGGGAAGGTCATATGTGGTGTTATTATTGAGAAAATTTAACTTGTGTCCATGTTTACAATTGAACCATCCCTTTTTCTGACGTTCACATTTGTTTCTACCAGCTACATGATGAACACCTGTTAATAATCAAATTCAGTTAGTGATATTACATATCCTCTGCCAAACCCAACCAGCATTAACGCTCCAAGGCTGTTTGTCTTATTCTCACAAACACCACCTGATCAACCACGTTAGTGACTATGGCGAGACACCATCAAAACAAGTGTCAGTTTCACAATGACTCACAATATAATAATGTGCCAGTGTCAACATGCACAAAGCGATCTCAGCGCTAAGACTGGTCGCGTCTTTGTAAAAGTACTACAATAGTCTTAGCGCTAAGACTGGTCGCGACTATGTAAAAGTACTGCAATAGTCTTAGCGCTAAGAATGGTCGTGTCTATATCAAAGTGCTGCAATAGTCTTAGCGCTAAGACTGGTCGGGTCTATGTAAAAGTACTGCAATAGTCTTAGTGCTCAGATGACTTTGTGCATGTGCACCAAGGTTACAGCTGACATGTTGAAAGTGAGTGAGTGATTTGAACAGTATTCCAGTTATTCATGGTGAGTCAAGTTGATGTGAAAGGACAGCCCGAAGTGATGCAGGTCCTTGACATTCACCACTGTAGTGAAACCCACCAGCACATAATCAGTGTGATTGTGGTATTCTAACCCAGGATGAAAGGTTTCACCTAAGTGACTCAACATTCGACATTGTCAATTGTAGAGCCAAATGTGACTGGGACACGTGTCTGTAGAAATCTCAATCTGACCTGTTGACATGAAGCATTGGACAGCCATATATGTTGATACCAATAACATGACACAGAAAATTGTCACATATTTGATCTCTGCCATCAAAATACTGTACTCCTCCACAACCTGCTGGAACAGTACGTCTCAGAGCCTTCGGGGATCGAACAGAATATCTGACAATATGATCCACTAGACTACTTAGGATCCTAATGACGACGTAGGTAAATGTCTAGTTTCATTCCTCAGTGATCCAAAAGAATATCACTTGTAGGGCTGGCTAAAAAGATCGATCATATGGAAAGCAGCTGATTTTATTGTACCTTAAATGTCCACAAAGTTTTCCATCCATAAATGTGTCACCACTCACCAGTGACGTGAAATATGTTTTGTTTCTGAGCTTTTTGCATATTTGATGAAAGTTACTTCTCCGATATTTATCGATGATTGATCGATTTTTAGTTAACGAATTTCAATCTCTAATATCTATATCAATAGCCAGCACAAATCATTTGAAAATATGTTCCACAAGACTACATACCAATGACTCAAATGACTTAATGCATCAACTTAATGCAGAAAAACGTCAGTGATTCAAAAGTGAGTGAGTGGGCGAGTATGGTTTCACGCCGCTTTTAGCAATATTCCAGCAATATCATGGCAGGGGACACCAGAAATGGGCTTCACACATTGTACCCATGTCGGGAATTGAACCCGGGTCTTCGGCGTGACGAGCGAACGCTTTAACCACTAGGCTACCCGACCGCCCGTGATTCAAAAGAATATCTTCTTTGAAAATGTTCTTTAAAGTTTCAACAGCTGCAGTCGTAGACTACAAACATAATCATAAATGTGATATTATTGTGCCATACGTAACAATATACCAGCAGAAATCATATACAACATACCACAGCAATAACAGCAAAGTACATCCCAGAGCCTTCAGGTATCCAAAAGTATATCTGACAATACGTTCCACGGGACTACTTACGACCTAAATGACTTAATGCATCAACATCATAAGTTAATAAATGTCCAGGTGGCTGTCAATATCGACTGATCAAGTGGTACATCAATGAGCTGTCACTCCAAGGTTCACAACATACCTTCAGAAAGCAATCAATCAAACCAGCCCCAGTTATTACAACCTTAACACATGTCTTCAGGAATGTAGCATCTATTTCATAATCACCCCTAAAATGAATTTTATCCACACAAGCCCAATACCCCAAGACTGCTCAAACAAATCTTCTCTTGCCATTAACTTGACAAGACGACAAGAAATTTGTCTCATTTCCCACAAAACACTCAGTTGACCACCAACGGCCTTTGAGTAGGCACAGCAACATTTGCATAGCTCTTGAATCAAACTAAACCTATTTGCTGGAGTTAGCATGATAGGAGTCACTGGGTACGTGACTACATCAGTTGTCGTAGACCGGAGAGGTAACGGTAGATGCAAAAAAATATATCAGCATAATAATAACAATGATAATCTCAAATATTATTGTCGCCTCCATGGTCTAGTGGTAGAACATCTGCCTGGAGAGTGGAAGGTCCTGTGTTCCGATCCCCAGCAGCGTTATATCAAAAGACGTTAAAAAATGGTACATATTGTTACCCTGCCTGGCGCTTGGCATTAAGGGGATTGATGATGATGTAGATGAGGATGATGCTTACTTATGATGACAATGATGCTGATGCTGCTACGATGATGATGGTAACAATGGTGATGACGGTAATGATGATGATGATGATGATGATGATGATGATGATGATGATAACAACATGATTTAGTCCAACATGACAGACTACAGAGTCTCTTGCAGGACGACAAGGACAACAAATTCTGCAACCCTACTAGTCAAAACTTAATCCATCTTTAAAACAGGAAATTAAGCCATGAAAGATTTCCTTAAAACACAGCTACAGGAAAAGGAAAATCAAGAGTTCATTTGTTTATGAAATACATTTTAATGAACTGGCTATATTTATCTTGAGACCACATCACAGGGATGATGATGCCCCAAATATTACAGAAGAAAAAGGTCAAGATGGTTTCTTTCATCAAAAGAGCTTTTTTAAGGAAATATAAAACGTAGCCTTAAAATAAACAGGCATTTCAAAAATAATGTCCCGTTATTATTACATAAAAAAAATAATTTATTTGATTTCTCAAGGTAGAATCATCTGGAGAATTTCACCAACACAAGTGAGTGAGTGAGTTGGGTTTAACGCCGCTTTTAACAGTATTCCAGTAATATCGCGGCGTGTCAGCTTAATGTGGGAGGAAAGCCCAAAGTGATGCAGGTCTCAGACATTTACCACTTCGGTGAAACCCAAGAGCATGGGTATGGTGCTGACAAACCTAGAAACATAAATGGGTCTTTCTGTACTGGGTGCTCCATCGTGATGCACTGAACGAGGCTTCAAGCACCCACACCCTTTCCTTGTTTATTTCACTAGGGCGGGTGTTAATTTCAACTAACATACACAAAAACACAAAAAAAACTTTCCACATTACTGAACCAATATGCCTAAACATGCACATCTGACGTTTTGTAACAACTTTCAGAATCAAGGCATGATTGACCTTGACCTTTTGAGACACGGTAGCCATTTATCAGTGACAGTTTTCATGTGGGAGAGGGGCCATAGATATCTTGTTTTAGTTTAAGAGCTAAATCCGTCCCTTCATGACAAGTGGCATGTCTTTATCATGTCCTTATCAGGATGAATCAAACTAGAAAAACAGAAACATTATCCCTTGAAGAACAGACGGATGACCACACAACATGCAGAGATGTACACAAGACATTAGGTCCACTCCCAACTTTCTAAACATGGTTCAAAGCTGTTGAAAAACTGTTGTAAAACTAGTTCTCATTACCTAACTTTTTAAAACATTTCTACCAAATCTGCCCAAATTATAAATTTTACTTTCAAGTTTGAAATGACATGTACTTCCACATGTAGCCATGTACTGTCCTGTTGGGGTGTTTTGTACAATAAAGTCCTTGATTCTTGATTCTAATAAATAATAAAATTTCAAATTTCCATTTCGGTTATTAAAATAAGTATCTACACCAACCATGCGAACGGTTCCTATCAATGGGTGAGGTCACATTTAAATTTTATTAATGTAAACATTTCAGCGCTAACAGAACTGAGACTCTTAAAAAAGTCACGTTTGTTTGAGACAAAAAACATAAAAAATATTTTGGCTACACTGAATAAACAGATTCCAAAGAAAATTCTGGTTTCTCCAGTCAGCCAGTGCTGATGGCCTTCATAGAAGGCTATTTATAGGGGCTGCCCAGTGGTCCAGTCAACCGATGCCCCTGTCTGTCATAGAGAGATACTGTATGTATACTGAGAGCCCAGTAGTCATGGTAGTCTGGCTGTGTGTCACTTCAGCGCTAAGCCGTATACAGTATAATACTTCACATGCAGTCATGAAGCTGTTCTCCTGTTGATATTCTTCTCAATTGTTCCGTCTCAAATAACGGATTTTATCTCATTTCCTTCTAGGTTTTATGTCCCTGCTGGCCAGGTTTTGTAGTTGTGCATCATCACTGCGGTATATGTACATTAAATTTAATCAAATGAATGATAAAAAATGTAAGGCTAGCAAGATTTCACCTGAAATCAGAAGTGTTTGAAATTTCAGGCATGGAAGTCTTGTGGTCCTTATTTACTATGTTATAACTTTTTATAGATGATCTGTTTGTCTACAGGTTTTGAATTTTTTAAATATCCCTGATTTTGTACAAATGCCATGCCATGACAGATTAACTATAGTAATATGAAAGGATTTGGCAGC